CGTCGTGTTGTCTGATAGATGTTTACCAACGTTTCAGAGGTCTTTACTACCTCCATCATCAGGGCGATCGTCCAGAACAACCCACAAGACAGCCATCTTAGAACTCACCGCCATGATAACCTCAAATCCTACTTAATCAGACTGCTTGCTGAGAATTTGGCTGTCCACAAACAATTCATAAAAGGCCTTAGCACCGTTGCATGAAAGTGTATGAGGTAAGTGGAAGCAAGGCACTAGATGGGGGTGCCAGGGCCCATTTTATGAAAGGTTTGATGTACTACAGGGCTGGGGGCTCATATTTCCTAGTCTATATTATATAATTTTACTGACTGAGCTATGCCAGCTCATATTTAGATAAATCTCTAAACAAATTTTAATGCAATCAAAATAATATTATGCAAGTAGCACATGTTAAAACTAATTCTTAAGTAGAATTGAAATTTTGGGAACACACAAAGGCATTCTCTGCGATTACGCGCATGTAAGTTATTGTCCATTCAAGTCTGTCGCTGCAGAAATATTAAACACAACAAATATTATACTGTAGTAGACACAAGAGTTATTTTAACGCGCATTTCATTAAAACTATTTAATGATATTTCAAATAAGAGTCGCGTGAGATATAGGCCTATATTTTATTTTCTGTATTACTTTTCTAACAAGAGTTGTTTCTGAACAGAAATGTTATAAATTAGGCCTATATTGTATTGTAGCTTCACATGAAGTAAGAGTTATATTCAATACATTTGGGACAAAATAAATTTTCCCCAGTCCCATTTAGTGTGGACATTTCAACATCAAATTTAATTTAATTCTGTTGAGTAGAAATGCAGTACGTGCGAAGACATTTTGCATTCTGTAAAAGTAACGTGGAGACAGCAACGAAGTAATCTCAGCCAATAATCAAAGTTGATATGGAATAAACTTCCTTCTTTAATGTGTTTAGTTCAAATTTTAAACAAGTAAATAAATACTGAACATTTTAAATAAAGTTATAAAACAGAAAACACTTTCTGAGGTGCGAATATTTTAAAATTTCTGAAGAAAACACTAAGTAGTCAAATAGTTCCTAACCAGCAGTATTAATCTCAGTTTCTTTCCTATTGCAAAATGTGAACAATTCCAGTAACAAAAATAAATTGTTGTGAATGAACCAGAACTGTGTTACAGAACCATTTTCATAAGATGGCGGAGGGGGAAATTCACAAGACGTCAACTGACTCATAATTTCTCTATTTACTGACAGATGTATGTAGTTAAATGAAAACAAATATATTTATCATATTTGAGCACGTTTTAATATTTATTCGGTACGATAAAATTCAGTGCCAGGTAATTGACATGTGGACGTACATTACTATCCACCTCATGGATCTGACAATACATCATGTTGGTATTATCAACCAAAGTAAATTAAAAAGTACTGCTATATACTATGCACCAATGGCATAATGCCCATACAAAATTTAATGAAAATCTGTCCACTTAATCTCATGAGTAGACAGATATCACGGTTATGTCATCAGCGACAATAATGTCATGCGGGCAGCCAAGGGCATAACAAATATAACAATGTTCCAAAGACACTGTGTTAAAGGTGTGTTGATATCACCATGTATGTGCAAAGGATCATGGGTAAAGACATTGTCATGGTCGCAAGGCTCCAATGGCATAATCTCCATAAGACATTTCATCACATTCCATCACCCATTCTCGAGTTACTGAATATGTACAGGTGAATATCCTGAGAATAAGATCACCTATGGCATGATACGCATGCATAGGGCATCACGTCACAACTTCGAGCATCCGTGACACTGGTATTGCTGAGCGCAGGAAATTAAAAGTACGAGTTTGGAGAAGTCTCTTACCACATAACATCCATATAGAATGTTATGAAAATCTGACCAGCAAATTCTCTCATTATTAAATGGATACAAATGGGAATAACATCTGATGATGTCATCAGCGGCAACATGGCAAAGGATAATGGGAAATGAAGAAATCAACGCCCCCATCTCATGAATTTTAACATTGGCCATTTTTGGTATTATTGACTGCAGGAGATTAAGAAGTACTGTTGTGGACTAGGATCCTATGGCATAATTTTCATACCAAATTTTGTGACAATCCATTCAAGTTATTATGTTACATCTTCAGTTGACAGATGTGACAGACAGGCCTGAAGACAGAAGAAGTATGTTCCTCAGAAATGTTGGTATCTACCTACAAGTTTATACAGCATTACCACTCAGAATACCATTATTAATATTAAAGCTGAAGTTTGTTAAAATAAAATTTATGAAATCAGTCTGTACTGCAAAGAAAGCACCATAGTTCACATCACAAAGATCAACTGGTTAATGCTGTTCATGGAAGTAATCACTGTTTCACTGAGAATCATGTGAAACTCATATACAGGTAGCCCACGATTTACGCCTGAGATGTGTTCCTGGACGAACCTTTGTAAATTTGAACGATTTTATAATGTAAATCAATGGGAAATCAATGACATGCGTTCCCAGAACCCAAACATTGACGAGTAATATAATGCCATTACATTTAAAGCTTTGAAATAACGTAAATAAAATAAAGGGAATTTAAAAAAATATATTATATACACTTACAATCGGCGATGGCGTGATGAGGCGGCGTTAGTTCTGACGAAGTCCCTGGTTGAGGATCGTCATGTTTTTTTAAAGAAGTCGTGCAGTGTGGACTGTCGTGATTTCTTCTTTCTTTCTTTCAAAATTTCACCATGAGGCCTCATATATGCCATAACGCTCCTCTTCGCCGTAGCACAAGAGCTAACTCACATGCAAAAGTTTGCATTTCACAAACAGCTTTTATCGATTCATCGATCTCATTGCAGCAAATTCGCGTTCACGAAACATACGTAATTGCAGAGATGACTGTATTTATAATCTTTATTCAAAATCAGCGATGTAAGAATTACGATTTAGTATAATAAGCAGTATGAGAAACATTGTAAAACGTCATAAATAATAGTAAAATATATATTTATATACATATACATACATATTTATATATACATACGTATATTTTTTTCACTTTTTGACTTTCTGGTTTCTAAATCGGCGTTATTGTGAAACGGCGCAGATCATGGGCTACCTGTACACTGAATGGCTGCTGCCTCTAATGGAACAAAGCTCAATCCATTCTCTCTGCCTTTATCTGCTCATTTATATTGCAATGGTTTTTAGTTTTATAGTTTCTATCGTACTATTTTCGAAATTCATTCTATACAGTACATTCGAAAACATGTCAAACTCATAAACTTACATTAGATTACACTTGTTTAACCCTTTCCATGCAGATTTTTGTTCAGTCAAAATAAATTTCTTGCACATTTGTATCATAACCTAAAAAACTACAAACAATGTCAAGACATGGCCGTTAAGATTTCCTTCCACTGATGTCACATAAAAATATCTATGGCAAACGAGGTGAGTTTCAAGATGTAGTATCTTGTTTTAAGAATGAAAGCTCGTTCACAAAATTGGAAAATTTAATTTGCGACAGGAAATTATAAGGTTGACAACGCTAACAGTTTTGCTTACGCTGTCATGACTGTGTTAAAAACTTATTTAATTTTTCCACTAACATATGATGAGGATGAATGTAAACCATTCACAGTCACAGCTGTTTTACAGAACATACATCGTACTTGCACATATAATATTTCTTATACACAATTTTTTTTAAGGAAGTTCATATGTTGCTGCCTCGACATGATCATAAGCACGAGGAAGGTTCTGCGATACTTTTGCTGTTACACAGCACTTCACTCTGCTTCACTCTACTTACACAACTTCGCTAATCTCTCTTCCCATCCTCCAAGACGCACAAGAACATTTTAGCACACACTTGGTTGAAGGCATCTACAATAAATTATAAACAAACAACTTAGGAAATGTTCACACAGCATTACAATCCTGGCGTGGTCACCAGAACTTGACCTTTGATCTTTGTGAAAACCATCAGTGACACAAGAGTTATCTGGGGATTCCCCAAGTAGCCATAACAACCACAGTAACGACAGCAATGACGGTGGTCTGCGAAATCCTCACCCAGTCACTTCTGTGCGCAGAAACACATCTTCATATAAAGTACCTGTTATCGTTATCCAATTTTAATGAAAACTGGGTGTGTTGACATGTTTTAGTACAACTCTCCAATACCAAATTTCATAAAAATCTGTTCAGTCATTGTCAAGTTCTGAAATATGGACTGAAGAGATATTTTATTAACGCTACACAGTATTGTATTATATGGAAGTGAAACTTGGGTTTTGAGAAAGAATGACACAGCAAGAAGAGACACTACATCATGGAACTTCTTAGATCTCTACAGGGAGCAATGCTTTTAGAACTGTCAATCCTAGGATTGGTTGTCACCCCCCATTTCAGGGGTTTATCTTGCAAAGATATCACCGTGGTTTCGCCTTGCCTTCCGTGGCCAGTCTTTATCCATCACACTGGAAGAGAAAGGACGCGGACAAACATCCGTGCCTTGAGTGGGACTCGAACCCACGGTCCCAGCGGCCAGGCGCACGAGGTCAATGCCTCAGACCGCGTGGCCACTGCGGCCAGCCAACTCAATTGGTACATTATAAAATAAAGACGTAAAAAGCTGACTGCACACTACAGTCACAGTTGATGACATAAAAACTTGACACATTATTTATAAAGACAGGGCCAGATACAGTCGTGGGGACCCTGGGGCAATCAAAATCTGGAGGCCTCTACTAGTGACAATAAATTTAGGTTATATTGCAATTACTTATAAATAAACAATAATTATGTATAAATAAGTATCATGTGATTGGTTTCTGGTGATGATTACCTGGAATCTTCATGTCAAATAGAAACATGGATTTTAAGGAGACCCTGGGGCAACCACCAGAATTGGTCCTCCTTAAATTTAGCCCTGCTTGTAGACATATCGTAAAATTACAGAATCCCAAACAAAATTGACATACCGTACCTACGCTCCCAGAGGAAGAAGGGGATATTAGGACGACAAATGTAACTTTTAAATCTAAGACCTGCGTATTAATCAAATGGGTATTACTTAGAACTTACCTGAGGTCCTGATTAGCCAAAACGGCTTGTTTTTCCAGTAGATAAAGATGAGATACACAGGAACGCCAGATACGATGAGCACCAGTCCAATGCCTACTTCCCAGGGACTGACATAAAATGGAAGTGTAACCAGGAACAAGCAGATGATGAAGAAGATGATGGGAAAAATAATATTTACCTGTACGGAAGAAATAAAACATCACCTCGTTGACCATGATAGATTAACATGTGCTAATTATGTTTTCGCTTGTCTGACCAATTATATTATGTCACTCCATATTCTTGACCAATCACTGTTGTTACATTTCTATATAAATCCTCAAACAGTAATTTTCCATAATGATGACCATGAAGAAAGACCCAGTAAGTTCCTCCAAAATGTATGTAATTTTTGTGAGATTTGAGGTTTTCACAGCGGTGAGTTTGAAGATTTCCGTCTTCTGGGTTGTTGCGCCATGTAGTCTGGTCGATGTTAATGCCTCCGTCATCAGGGCGATAATTTTTACCAATTCATGACAGTACTTAGTGGATTCAGATCATTCCACTTGTACAATAATTGAAACATTAAATAACCATAAAAATAATTAATCAACCAATGAAATGATTTTTTGGGGACTGAACTGTTGAAGTTTAAAAAAGGAAACATTGAACCCCATCACGTGCCATTACTTTCTGGTCATAATCTAGTATAGAGACAATTTACCTTGATTGGCCGTTCAGCGTCAGGCCTTTTGTACCTGAGCCAGAGCAGTCCTGCTACTGACAGGGTAGTGAACAAAGCCTCCACAAAGCTGAGGTAGTTGATGAGCACGTAGACATCCTTGATGATCAGCAGTACCAATGTTATGAAGCACTGCAATGTATCATTCATAACAATGATTTACAAACATCTATTTAATGACTTTCACGTAAACAGACTGAGTAATCAATAAATAACTCCTTTTTATAACACACAATGACTAAAGCACAAGGAATGTCTTCATGTCCATAAAACCAATCATGGGACAGTAAACACAGAGATAGCAACAAAGAAGATTCAAAAATTATTAATACAGGTAGCCCTCGATTTACGCCGGGGATGCTTTCCTGGACGAAAATAGTACATTTTTTTTTTTTTTTCAATTTTTGACTTGCTGGTTTCAAAATCGGCGCAAATTAAACCGGCGTAAATCGAGGGCTACCTGTATTTGAATATTAACAATCCCTACTATACTACATGTGTGTGTATATATATATATATATATAAACCAATTATTAAATTAAGGGTGCATCTTACAGTCCAGGAAATATGGTACTTACATTCCTTCATTATTGTTATTAATTACAAAGCTTAAAATGGTTACAAAATTTCATATCTTACCAGGAAAACTAATGAAGGGACAGGTGTGAACCTATCAATGTTGATGAGTGCAATTGCTCTTGGCAAATGTCCTTGACGAGCTCCAACAAAGAACAGCCGTGACGATGCAAATATAGCTCCATTGAGAGCGCCAAACGTTGAACAAGCGACGAAGAATGGCATAATCCAGGACATTACCCCAAGCAGTTTGTCTCCAAATGTCTGAAAGTGTTGTCACATTAATTCAATCAACTCGAATCAATCAACAGGATATTTTATTTATATACAAATTATTGTTTAACCATTCTTGTAAGTTTCTACAACATGAGATTCCATGAAATTACTCAATATTGTTATTAAAAGTCACACAAATTAAGCATCAAACAGAATGCATGGATGGGATATAACAAAATTATTTATTCTAAAAAAATATATTTTAATGAAACCTTTATTTCAACTGGTACAACATTTTATGTAAAGCTTCTTACATTAATCTTGTGATATCGGAATCCCAATACTAATGGGATGCTGGTAAGATTTTTAACTCTGGATGGGTTAAACAGTAGCGATACACTGTGTGATGCACACTTGATAAAGATCAATACATTTCAGAGATAACTGAAAACAATTTACTGCCACACACACACAATTCACTTTTTCCACGCTAAGCAAAATATATCTCACTTAAAGGCACTAGTCCTTGTCTAGATTCGTTTGATGATGTAGATCAGGGGTTCTCAACCTTTTTCGATGGCTTATAACTAATTCTAATTTAACACATTAAACGTGTCACTAACCAAATGCATTCAGTGAAAACGTTTGTTTATGTTAATAGTAACTTTTGATTTTCTTACTTAGTTCGCGTACCATAGGTTGAGAAACGCTGACGTAGATGATCAGCGAGAGAATATTATGTGCTCTCTGTATATGAATTATGGCACCATGGAAATATATTAAGAAAGTTAAGTTTCTTTAAATAAAAAAGCAGCATGAAAAGGGATAAGTTAATGTTTTTGGGAATTCCATGTGTCCATATGTCGATAATATAAACCTCTAAAATACCTGCTGTATAACTACACATCTCAAAAAAAAAAATCTAAATTATGAGTACATTTTTTGGACAATATTCACTGAGGCGTGGAGTTGTTTAAGGATAAAAGCTGAAGGAGATTTCTAAATTCACTTTTTTATTTGGAAGGCGTTAACTTTGATATGATTAAAAACTAAAGATTTTTGTAAAAAGCTTGTAGACTGTAGACCAGGCCACTTGGAAGGATGCCTTGGATGGCATTTTGTAATATTACTAATTTTGGAGTAGATAGGATCTGCTGTTCCTAGATACTTAAATTCAAGGCTTCTAATCACCTTATTTATGCTTTAGAGGATTGTTTACAACTAAAAATTGCAAAAATTGGCCTACTAGCTTCACCACGTCCGCCTATCTCTTTGTCCATCTGCAACGACTCTACAATGGTTGAATGAATTTTCATGAAATTGATATTGGGGAGTACTACTAAAACTTTTCAAAACATACTAAATTTGGTTAAGACTGGACAACGGAAAAATAAAAGAAAGCCTAAACACATTTATATGTATGGAAATGACTAGGAGAGAAATCTCCAGGCTGCCTTGGTTAGTATGATCACATTGGTTACCTTGGCTGCCTGGCAATCTCCAGCTAGCCATGAAACCACATAGGAGATTCCTCTGTGATGATACCATCATGCAGCCAGACAGCCTCCGAAAACCCTGCCAATGTGAGAGTCAATAAACACAGACGTCTGCCATCACTAGCACCATTGCCAAAGATCAAAGGTCATTCTGGCAATCACACCATAACTTGTTACGCTGAATGTACTTTTCCTAAATTGTTGAGTCTTAAAAATAAACAAATATACAGATATTGTGTCACTATGTATGATGGAAAATAATTATTCTACCTGATACCAGAAAACACGCTTTGTTAACTCTGTGACAGTTCATGTCACTTATGGCAATTTTTATCTTGATTGTGAATGTCAAAGAAGTAGGACATGTCTTACAATAAACATTAAACCTGATATTGAAAGTCCACTCAAGCAAAAGCAGTGCCAAACACGACTTTGTTAAAGTAACATTACCAAGTACGTAAATATGTAAACCTGTTTGCAAAAGTTACTTAGCATTTTTAATAAATTGCCGTAAAGTTTCAATACATTAAGGTCATGACCTTGTGACCCATTATTCGATAAGTAAGGGTAAATGTGGCATTCTTGGTTTTTCTGCACATCGCTTTTCATGAACTCTGTTTATGTTCTGTTCATTTGAGCAAGGTGTTTTGAATCAATGTGGCCATCATAAGGCTCAATTCCCTACTTCTATATCATTACATTATGGATCTCCTCTCTGATGTCGAGGAATAATGATAATATTATATATTCAAATGTTTTGTTTAAAATTTTGTCAAGTTGGTTAAAAGTTAAAATGCCAATATGATTATCAAAAATGTTTTTACCACAGCCTGGAGAGGCCCATTGTGTTTCCTGTAAGTTGTATTTGCCACCAATTTGTGCTAAAAACAGTTTAAAAAACATTTTTGATAATCATTTTGGCATTTTATCAAACTTAACTAAATTAAAAACATTTTAATACATACCTTTATCATTATTCTGGATACTGGGGAGGTGGTGAGCCTTAATGCAATGACATAGAAGCATGAAACTGAACTTGACAATGGCCACATTGGTTCAAAACATGTAGTCCCAAGTGAACAGACAATGAAAAGTGTGTGTGCAGAAAAACCAAGTATTCAATATAACACAACATGATGCAACACTATTGACATAAATGGGGCCCTGGGTCTGAAACAGCCTGAAAATCCCTGTAGTAAAAATATGTGGATTACTTACAACAGCAACAGCATTTGAAGCCAACAGCTCATCCCTTGTAAGCACAACAAAGTATGCAATGTTAGTTAGAACATAGATTATTGTTACCAAAGGCATAGAGATCCAAATAGCTCTTGGCAGATTCCTGAAACATTAGAAAGTACAAATCTCACTGGACAACTGTTTAAGTCCCTGAATCTTCAACAGATATAAAAAGTGGCTTCCTCAATCCACAGGTTTATTAAATTAAAGCAACCACCTAGCTAAGACAAATTAAATAAACTTAAGGTACAGTATCATCCCTTATCAGTTTATAGTTATTCAGTAGTTGAATAAATTCCTTGCTGTTATGGAACTAAAGATTTATTAATATTTCCTGAAAGCTTATCATATTAATATGTCCTTGGCCAGTTCATTTCATCTTCATAACCTGTGTACATGACAAACAATTTTAGTAGTATCCTATTTATCACTTTTTGAACCAATATTTTAAATTGATTTCTTTTTCCTTCATTCACGGTACATACCACATGTGAATTCTCTTCTGTTACCTATTTTGTACCAAAGAATTTTTCTAATGTAGTTGCATTTTTTGTGAGACCTATTATTCTAACAATAGGAGGCTGGTAATCCCATCCAAATCTATTGGCTTATACAACCTGTTATTAACATATCATAGCTATTATTCATACTCACAGAGTGGTGATGGGTTCTTATTAACATGATAATAAACCATTGGGTTCCAAAAAATTGAAGGAATTTCTAGACTAGCCGAGTAAATATGCTTAGTATATGGACTCAGATCCATGGAATTAGTTACTTTAAGTTATTATACAAATTTTCTGCCTAATTCATCCATTTGCATCCTGAGAATTGATGGAGAGTGTGCTAGCACCAGTTCAAACCAGTCTGGCGAGACCGATGTCTAAATTTTCAAAACACACATAAAAATTGTGCTGGAAGCAAGCCTGCCACGTCAGATGCTTCAAAGCAATTGCACACACACTATAAATACTTCTCCATTCTGCAAAGCTAATGTAAATATTATTTAATGATTCAGTTCCTATCATAAAGAAAATGTACAACTTGTGAATTACGAAGATCAGTTGGGTTAATGCTGTATAGGGAAATAACTGCTGTTTACTCTGAGAATCATATGAAACCCATAGAACACCGTGAGGAAAATCCAGAGTTGCAAACTGCAAAAGTAGGTGGTACATACAGTTACCACTGGGCTTTAAATAGTTAATATAAAAATGACAACTAAACTGGTAGCGTACCCATGCAGAAAAGCCTTGCTTGCTCACAACATTAATATCAGCATAGTACAAGTATACAGCACATTATTATTATTATTATCACCACCACTAATATAACAACAACTACTACTACTTTCTTGCATAACCTTACTTTTCATACAGTATGAATAAAACTGATCAAAGGCATATTGTAATTCATCATAACAACTATCTTTATGTTCAGTATGAACTTCTTATTTACAAGAGCGATATCGTACTACAGACTCTGAAGGATTAAAACAAAATTCAAATAGTCAATCTTCAAATCATAATACATGTCAGTGACCTAGTGTAGTTGCCAAAATGGTAGTGAGTAGTAACTTTCTTGAATTTAAGGTTATAAATACAGAGTGTTCCATTTAAAATGCATCCCACCAAGAATCATATACTACGGCACAAAAATAAAATCAGTAGCTGGTCTTCCTGCCCCCCTGTGAGACTCAAGTCAAGGTCACCCTGCTTTCTGAACAGCTGTTTATGCCACTGCAGAATATGTTTTCATTCTCGAAAATTACTTCACATCAAAATCATTTGCTGCTCTGCATGAAGAATTTAGTAAAGTGTATCCTGACAAGGAAGCATTGCATAACACAACAATACACAGACTGGTAACATAATTTCAAGACATAGGAAGTGTCTGAGACAAGAAACATGTCTGATGGTGGGCACTGCTGACAGGTGAGTCACTCTACAACACTACAGAAACACTAGCATAATCATTACATAAATGTTAGAGAAGATTGTCCCAATAAAGTGCACTAATGTTCAAGAATGAACACACATTCTTGTTGGGCATGCATTATGTTTGCACCTGCAGCAGTGTGAGTCTGCCATCCAGCGTGATCTTGACTCAAGTAAAGCGGGAGCTGGAACTGTCTATTATATTGAATGAACCTGCTACTGATTTCATTTTTGTGGCATAGTACACTGTTCTTATGTTTCATTTTAAATGGTACACCCTGTATATACTTCATAATTAAAATCACTCTCAAATAAATGGTAGTACCAGCAGTAAACTTACTTGTATGGTTCTTTCAACTCCTCTGTTACAAAGTTTAAGTAGTTCCTGAAAGGCAAATGATGACTTCGTAAGAAAAATAAACAAATGAAATGTACTAATTATTATAAACACTAATTAATTCAATACATATCATGTAATTATACAGCATCTCTTCGTAATTAACGAGCACAGTTTTAAACATTCTTTGCGTTCCAATGACATATTATTCAATTAATTATTCGGATTGTCCGTCTAATCACAATTATATTTAAAATTTACAAATAAGATAATTAAAATATCATTTTATGTTCCACAACGAATAATCGATTTACATTTGGAACATAAAATGATATTTTAATTATCTTATTTGTAAATTTTAAATATAATTGTGATTAGACGGACAATCCGAATAATTAATTTAATATTTGATTCACAATATGACGCAATTATACTATCTTATGACATATTGTTCCTTTATTGCATTATTCATTATTATGTTTAAAAATATGCTTTTGCCACTGATGAGGTCGAAAAGCATTTGGCACAAAGTGTTTTTTAAAGTGTAAACAGTTTTGTTTGTGTGCATGATTTTAGATTTTCAACACTGCATGGTATGCAAGGTTTTAAGATTAAATCACTTTATTAACTTTGTGTCTCTGTAATAAATATAAGTCCCAGAAATATTTTATTAGACCTTCTTGTTCACAAATAAGTTACAGAGTCCATGTGCTTCATTCTACCCTTTTTTGGTATAGTATCTTTGGATACAAATTCAGACATACAGTTTTCATTTTGGTTGAACGGCTTATCTGCAGTGTTTTATTATTGGTTATGTGTAAACACCGAGAATGTAACAAAATCCCATTCTCGGTATATACACATGGATTTGACAGGCAAATAGTTCTCAACTTAAACAAAGCATACCACTAATTTACAAGAAAATATGTAATACTATGATCTACTACAGAATTAATTTAACTTCAAAAACAACAACAATTTACAGCATTCTTACTTGGGGTAATACTGATCATGGTTTCAGTTTACGTACTTATAAATTTAAAACATACCTACCAGCCAGAATAAGAGAAGAGGCCAGAGTAGAAAGCCAGTGCTATGAAACCTGGCTCAGGGTTAGTGTTACTCATTGGATTTTGAAAATTTTCTGTTTTTCCAGAGGCCAGGACCCACATTCCAGCAAACACAATAATTAGCAGTGCCAGTATCTTTGTTCCTGTGAATATGTCCTGGACACGGGTGGCCCATTTCACATTGTAACAATTAATTACTGTTAACAAACCTGATAATACAACAGAAAACAGAATCATATTAATTCACTGTCACAAGAGAAAATTAAATTCACGATGAAGTCTCTCACTCCAGGACACTCGTAAAGAAAAGGTTTCGCCAAACACTAACATTACTGTGATGACCAGAGTTACCGAGTTAAAATTACGTGGGAAACACACAGACCAATTTAACTACTGAAATTCATTGAACAGGGACCTTCTCAAGATCAGCTAGTCAGGAAATTTGAACCCAGTCCATAACCTTATATCCTATTTATATAAAATCCATTTTAATATTTTCCTTCCATCTGTGCCTGTTCTTCCAAGTTGTGTCTTCCCTTCAGGCTTTACGACAACAATTTTCACACATCCTTGCCTTTTCCAAGCATGCTGCGTGACCCACCCATCTCATACTTCATATGATCATAATACAAATAATAATATTTGGCAAACGACACAAATCATGAATATACAGTTTTATCCACTTTCTCTCCCTTTTCTCTCAGCATCCTTTACTAAAGGAAAAATACATACACAGAGAGTAAACAAATATAATACATAATGTTCCAACAGATGCAAGGAACAAATGAAGGATTATTATGCCAAAGCTCACATTGGACATGAATTGTCTACATTGGACACCACGCCGAGGCAACTGAATCCATCCCACAAATAATTACGCTCTTCAAACATATGTTAAAAACTTCTCCACAGAATTACAGTATGTAATAAGATTTCTGTGTATTCATCTGAAGGTAGGGAAGAAAAGTAAATTATGTATTATTTCACTAACAACAAATCAGAGTATGTTTTAAATTTTTGCCTAAGAAAATATTATCAGAAGTTTCAGACAAAATGAATTGAAGGCTGAGAAGGGGGCATTCATCCTAAGAGAACAGAAGTTGATGGTATACAGCCTCCCCACCCCACACCACTGGACCAAGCCACCCACTACTCTCGTTATTGACGCTGCCTGCAGGGAAGTGACACCCATTATCCTGTCACGCTAACTTAACTCTCATCACAGCTTCATCACCTTCCTATTCAAACATGAACTGCAAATATAATAGCTACTAGGGACTTCTACGTTGGTTGATGTAGGCTGATTCCTAGCCATGAGACATAAAGAATGGCCATCACGATTAACATTTTGGGTCATTTGTTGAACCATTTCAGTCAGCCTCAGTTTCTTCTGTTTTTCTCGTACTTCAGTTTTCACAGCTGGCATTTTAGTGCGTACCTTCTTCAGTGTCCATGCTTGATTTTGTTCTTCAGCTGATTTAAACTTTATAATTATTTTTTTTAAGTCTCTCTCTCTCTCAACATTCTGTCAGTGTATAAACTTAATTATTTTTTGTAGTGAAAATTTTTTGGGCAAACACTCAGATCGTCAAAAATGTGAAAAAAAGCAAATATGATCTGCTTTATTTTATTTTGCACTTCAGTATAAATAGCTAGCACACAGAGTGCCCTAAAGGACTCGAAAATGACGCGCAACTAAGCCAGTTATGATCACACTCAAATCTTCGATTTAAGCAACTGATTTCCGTCAGTAAAATATAATTTTCAGCGTACCTCACACTTAGAGTATTTAATGGTTAATAACATGTTAGTTATACAGCAGTAATATGATGTGAAGATGATCATGGATGGTAAATAAGGATTTGGTAGGATGCCTATTTTAAAAGATTATCACAGCATTTGCCTGAAGGGACTGAGTAAACCTACGATAAACTTAGAATATAGCGGGTACACCGACTAAGATTCAAACTGTGCAATCCAAAAATTAAATTATAAGTTGTTACCAGCATAACAATCTTCTCAGGTTCATTTGTAATTAGCTGAAGAAAATCGAAGGTTCTACGTTGTGATTAATGTTTAAGATTTCAAAAACCACTTCATAATTTTGTCATGTCTGTCTGTAACCAACAATGCCAAAGGCTACAGAAGTGATTTTGATCAAACTCGGTATTGGGGACCTACACTTAGTTTTGTAGAGCTTTTTGATTTTTAATTAGCCTGGAAAATTTTAAAGGTTACTTCACTTTGTGGCGTAAATAGATTTTAGATGAAGATTGTATTTTTTTTTACAGATTTTGATAAAACCTTATATATGGCAGTTACATGAGTATTATCATCTGAGTTACATTAATTTTAATTGAATTTAGGAGATATTTTAATTATGGGCCTAAATAACATTTTAAGAAAAACCATTGAGCTGTCTAATCATTATTTTTGATGATACATGGGACAGAAAATTCCTGATAAAAGTTACAGGGATACATAATTTATGTCATGTCCTATAAAATATTTGCTTAGAACTCAAAAATTTTGAAAAAATCAGCAACATTACAACAATACCTATTAATAAATCAATAAAACACAAACATGACGCAATTAAGATATATAAAAAAAAAGATATAAAATACCTATTAAGTTTGTTCCTTCAGAAGCATACAACCTCCTGATGTTTGCTCAGTTTACAACACATTGCGTAAGAATATACCTAGATAGCACACAGGTGTCATGTATAAATAAAACACCTTTTTAATGTCACCCCAAGGGTACACCAGCCCATATGTCTTATTTCAAATCTATCTCAGAAGGATTTTACCAGTCACTAACACTGACACGTAAGAATAGCATTTAATTTAATAGGCACATACAATGCACAATGACCTATATGCCCTTGAGACAAATAGCTGAACAATATAGTTACTTACTCCTTGCTACCATGATGGGAAAATTACAAGACTATAACAAGTATTAAGAACAGCACTATCAAAGGACACAAAGCAATCTATCAGCAGACTTTATGAAGCATGCAAATAAAGACCATAAAACATTACTTCAAACAGACATATTTGTTTACAGTTTTAATATCAAGTTCTTGGATAAAGCTGATTTGGAAACATGATGAACTGTTGGATGCCATAACAGATGGTACATGTTACGAGATTTATTAATTGGTATTTCTGACCGATCTTGAATAAACAAAAGTGAAAACGGAGTACAAATACCCGTATTTTCCAAATTTGGGTTCTTTACGGTTTGCATGTCTCTATTAGTGCTGATATCGTTTGTTAAAAAATAAACACCACTAGTATAAAATTTTTCGATGTATCTTTCGTTCTGTGAAATATATTTGACTCGTATGTTGTAGATATTATTAATGTACATATTCCACGTTAAGGAACAATTTTTTAGTTAGACGGTCCGATTCTGATAAAAGTTAAATCCTCAGTGCCATGAAAATGCCGAACATGTAATTGGTTTTAGTTCAGAAGTTGGCAATACGGATGAGACGGTCACGTGGTCAACCCTTTCTTTCCTGCAGCCCCTACTGACGTATTCGCAGATAACGGTAAAGAGCGGTCGAGTTAATACCAGGGAGGAGACGTGAATGAAGTGCCGTACCTCCTGTAAAACGTGAATACAAGAAGATTGAATAAAAAATTATATCTGGCGTCCTCCTTTCAGTGACATCCCGCGTCACTCGGTAATCGCCATCTTAACTTTGAGGTTCCTTGCGAAGTCACGTGATCTTCACTCACTCTGCGCACGCAAAGAGTAATACAATACAGGTTAGGCCGGACTGCGAGTAGAAAGATCAGTCGCAGTGGAATCCGAATACCATGTTTTATCGAAATCCGTTGACTACGAAATTCTGAAAATTAAACATTCGATATTTGTCACATGTACAGAAACCCCGAGCAAACAATTTGTAACATGATCTAAAAATCATGTGTAATAATAATTCCAAAAAGACGACGCTGCTCCGAGTGTCACAAGGGCATAAGAATCATGTTAGCTGAAGGGGTAACATTATTAATTATACTGAAGAGATAGCAGGGGCACTGTTCACCACAACTGAAGTTTTCCCGTGATTTTTCTTTTTACTTTAAGCGATACCGGAAATTCCCTTTTATAAACAAATCGTTGAACATTTCCGTTTGTCGTTCCAGGTAATTTGGGGAGGGGGGGGGGTAGGAAAGGGACTGAAAATACCGTTTCCTTTCACTCGCTGCTAAATAACATATGCAGTTGATACAACATTGTACTTACAGGTGATTACGGCTGCTAGAAGGCGCACGGCTTCGTAAGGGGGCTCGCAAGTGGGCCATGCGGGCTGCAGAATGTACTGGGCGAATGTGAGTGCCGTGATGGCGTTACCAGTGGGCACAAGAACTAGCAAGGCCACCCACAGGTACAAGAACGCGGGCAGCGGTCCGAAGGCCTCGCTGATGTACGCGTAATCACCCCCGGACTTGGGGATCATAGTACCTGAAAACAAATATACAATTACAGTTTATTTATTTAAAAGTGTTCTGTCTGAGGACAGGTCCATATGAACAGGATCCTTCCATCCTTTTCTCGGACTGGGACCTGTTCATATACGTTCTTGGCAGATGATCCAGAAGTGGTTTGCCATTACCTTCTTCTGTGTGTGAATGGAGTAATTGGTGGGATGCCACGGAGGAAAACTCCGGGGTGCCTAGACCACGGCCTTGCCCAACACAAGTTATAAATGCGACCCCGAGACCCCAGGATTACAAGGCCAGCGTCCTAACCGCTAGACCACCGTGGC